ACGCGAATCTCAAGGTTCCGAGAACAGCGTCGAAACCGAAAGCCTGGCTCGTTTCGCCGTCGAAGAATACAACAAGAAGGAGGTAAACAAGAAGCCCTTTTTCTATTTGTGTGAAACAAAGATTGTGGGTGGGTTTTTGGTTAATTGATTGATTGAATAATTAATTGTGCAGAATGCTCTGCTTGAGTTTGTGAGGGTGGTGAATGAGAAGGTGCAGGTGGTTTCGGGCACTCTGTACTATCTGACGATTGAGGTCACCGACGGGGGGAAGAAGAAGCTCTATGAAGCCAAGATCTGGGTGAAGCCTTGGGCCAACTTCAAGGAAGTGCAGGAGTTCAAGCTTGTTGCTGACTCTTAGTTTGTCTTGAGAGGTTTGTGGGCTTTCATTTAGTTTATTTATTTATTTATTGCCTTTTTCTAATTACCTGGTCATTTGTTTGGAGAATGGGGTATTGGAGTAGGATTTGGTTGTGTTAATCTGTATCTTGTATTTTTGTGTCAATATGTATGGAAGTATATAAAATTGTAGATTTGCATTTCTTGTTAATGTAAATTTCTCAACTGAGCTTAAGAGTTTAAGATTTTGGAAATTCAATTGTAAGCAATTTACACAAAAAATTCACTCATTGTAGACGACTTGGATCCTCTCCTTGGCATTAGTTTTCCTGCTTCCTTGTTTTCTAATGAAAGAGAACCAAAAGATTAAAAATATGCATGCTAGTTTATGAAATTTTAGGTTGTTTTTTAGCCTTCATTTCATGTCCTTTTTCCGCACTCCTCACTCCTCTGTCAGAAGAACAGGCCTGTTTCTTTTCATTTTTCTCTTCCACTCCTTGGAAGAAAATAGATGATTCATGTATGTTTTCAGAATTGTTCTTACCACGCCATTGAGCTTTGCAAATAAATTTGGTCTTAAAAATTGTTAAATCAAGCCCAAATGAAGTACATTAAGTCCTTTTAGCCAAGCTTTGCAAGAACATCGTTCAGTCTGGTAGGTACAGTCTAGGTATCTCTGCTTGTTGGGTGCTCTTGATCTTTCCTGGGTAATCCAACTGCTCTAAAAAAAGTAATCACTGAAGTTATATTCTCAATGGAAAACATAAATTTTTGTTTAGTAAAAGGATGATAAAGAAATCAACAAGGTAATGTTAGTTATGAACTCATATTGCTAATGTCTAGGAGTATCTTTCAGTTCCTTGAGTGGCTTCTTTTCTTCTTGGGATGCAACCGTAAGTGATTGAATTTACTTCTTTTCTTTCTTGAGTGTTTCTCACTTACACAATTAGGAGCCACACTTGTTAGGTTCTTTTTAGTAGTGAGTGAAGATGATAAAGAAAAAAAATTTGTTATGCATTTTCTTCTTTTCATAGTTGGGTAGGATAGGAAGGAGACTGTTCATCTTCTCCCTGTTCAGAGAGAAGGATAGGAATAGGTCAGTATAGTAAGAAAACCATTTAAAAACTTATGGTCTAACTTGACATATTTTTAACCTTTGGATACGTTTGGTCTATATTAGAAACGATTGGTAATTTGTACTTATTTCTAT